CTTTATTCATATGACTGATTGTTTTACTGAGGTTTTACTATTTTAACAAATCAAATTCAACTTTTACTAAAGTAGTAATACAAAGTATTGTTCCTAACACTTGCGCAAAGTGTCTTTCCCGCGCTTAAAGCTCATCCGAACTCCGCTTCGCGTCGTTCGTCTAACTGCTTTTTCATGCGGGAAAGTATCACTTTGCGCACTTGTTAGGAAAATAGCTATTAATGAGACTTACATGTATCAGGAATCATAACCTCGTCAGGTCGACATTTTGGGGGGTATCGGACTCCCCCAATTTGCCATTATTTTTGTCGGCCAAGTTGATTTCCGTGATTTAGACATAAAAATCAAACATATTCGTAAAATTAGATTTACATGTATCAGGAAACATAGCTACGTCAGACATGTTTGCGAGTCGCCTGCGCGCATACGTGCCATTTCCGAGAAAAGTCGTTGAGGAAAAAGTTGTTGGACTTGATGTAAGCACTCACAAAGTATGGGGTTTACATGTATGACTGAAAAAAAAAGGTCCTTGGATGGTTGATTATTGGTCTATTTAAGCAACAGATTATTGTGGCACTTAATGGAATTGATAGTGGTTAATCAGTCATAAATGGTAAATGTAATATTGAAATTTATTTAAAGCTTTCCGATTTTTTTTTGAATGTTACATGCTTTGTTATACCTAAAATATCCTACCCCCCTGCCTGTATCTCCTGTAAATATAAGAAATCTGAAAATTCCCCAAGTGTGCAACCTGGCAGATCCCTTGTTTTTTGAGCCTCGACAGATCGATATATTGATTGGTGCTGATTTATTTTGGAAGATTGTGTGTAATGAGCAAATTTCGTTAGGTTCCAATTTTTCCGTACTGCAAAAAACAAACTTTGATTGGATTGTTACAGGGCCAGTAGGTAAAATTATGCAGCATTCTAGTGTCAATTGTAGTTTTGGTACCATTATAGAACAACAGATACTAGAAGACTTAAAAAGATTTTGGGAGTTGGAAACTATCGATTCTAATGCCAAGAAGAAATAGCTGCAGAACAGCATTTAGTTGAAAATGGACATTAGCAGTCTGGGAAGTTCTTAAGTGCAGGTTAAAAAGAGAATTTACAATTAAGAAAAAAGATTGTTAGGAAATGATAAATTCAAAAAGATTTATCAGGACTTTATAAGGAAGTATATAGAACAATAGAACTGGGGCACATGATTAAGGTAAATATTTCTCAAAATGATTCTGTGTTGAATTATTATACAGGGTGTGAATTTGAAAACTTCCTACCCCTATTATCTCGGAGTAGAAAAATTTTCGAAAAAATCCCTGAAACACGTCAACTATAATTTGAAGGGGGATGAGTTTTTATGCAAAATTCATCTTCCCTCTTTCAACCCCCCAGCCCCCAGAGCCACCCCCTAGAAAATTTTAAATGGGAAGGGGGGTCAAGTGATACATCATTGTGGAGGGTTTTCAATTCCATACATTTTGATACACAATTATTTTAATCCCTAAGTTCAATTGCTTTGGAAATATTGACAGTTGAAAATTGACTTTTTTACAACTTTGACAGGCTGTAAAACGTAAACGGTTAATTTTAGAGGAAAACCGATTTTACATTCTTATCTTAGATTTTTATAAACTATCATTTGACAGCAAATTCGAATTTAATCCATGATCGAAATTTCCGGTTGAAAATTTATTAATCTTCGGTTGAATTCAAAAATGGTGTCAAATGATAGTTCATGAAAATCTAAGATAGTAATGTAAAATCCGTAAAATCTAAGACAAGAATGTAAGATCGGTTTTCCTCTAAAATTAACCGTTTAGGTTTTACAGCCTGTCAAAGTAGCAAGAAGGACAATTTTCAACTGTCAATATTTCGAAAACAGTTGACCTTAGGGACAAAAATTTAGTACCAAAATGTATGGAATTAAAAACCCTGCAAAATGATGTATCACTTGACCCCCATTCCCAATTAAAATTTTCTAGGGGGTGGTTCTGGGGGCTGGAGGGTTGAAAGAGGGAAGGTGAATTTTGCATAAAAACTCATCCCCCTTCAAATTATAGTTGACGTGTTTCAGGGATTTTTTCGAAAATTTTTCCACTCTGAGATAATAGGGGTGGGAAGTTTTCAAATTGACACCCTGTATGTGCCATCATGGAGTTTATAGGGAGGATGATATACGAATCTAAGGCTACGTTTACACTTGGAAAAATTACTGGCGGAAATCTGTTTTTTTTTTAAAGATAAAAGTCAAAATGAAATTATGTTGGCAATACAATGTGAAATTGTCAATGCTTTCAAATTTTTTATGTAGTAAAGGCTTGTGTTGCCAACATAGTTACTAAATTTTTGACTTGGGGAATTATTAATTAATTAAAAACAGACTTTACTTGTCGTCATCAAACTTGTTCATTGTTTTGTGTTTACATATTTTCAAGTTTATTTGCCAAACAGTAATAGCTATTTATATAACAAGTACATAAAGTAAGGCTTTATTGTACGAATAATTTTATGGCCGAGCGAGCTTGCGAGCGAGGCTATTAAAAAATAATGAGACGATAAAGCCTGTTTATGTAAGCGTTATATACATGATTTTATGTAAGATTCTGACTTAAAAAAATTGAACGAAAAAAGTAAAATTCGCGTAGGTATACCTTTTCACCTTGGCAGGTTGTCAGGACCTGCTTCACTTTGGCAGGTTGTCAGGACCTGTTTCACCTTATCAGGTAGTCCAGGTAGGCAATAAAGTAGCACTTTATTTTACTAGTAAAATAAAGTAGCATTTTATTTTACTAGTACAATAAAGTGCTACTTTATTGACGCAAAACTGTTCTATAAATAGCACTTTATTGGTCAATCGGACATAAAAAATAAAATGACTCTAAGTAAGGTAGTGCGTGCTGCTATTAAAGTTGTTGTAAGTGAAATTGCCAATAAATTAATAATTAAGTTAGAATGAAGGAAAAAACGAGTTTGTGTTAGAGATTGGATCAGAATTACTGTGAGTGCGTCAGAACGACTGTTAAAGGAGATATTAAGTGAAGATCCTGATTCTTGTAACTCTTTCAAAAGTTTTTCAAATTGCATTCTGCTTTCTTAATTTATTCATGTGTTCTTTCAACTTTATGTTCCACAAAATTTCGTATTTTCCATACATGTTTAAATATGAAATTATTAGATTTCCATGATGGAAATTCCATCCCACTTATTTATTGTGAAATAGAAACAGAAATGTGGATGCCTGTTTTTGTGACCCGTTTACACACGAAAAGTACAAAAAGAAATTCGGCGTAGCGGCAAGTAAACTAGCCGGTCCATCAACTTTTGGAATGAGTTTAGGCATGAATTGTCATTATTGAATGAATTAAGAATTGAGCTACGTGTAACATCCCCTAATCTGCAATATATAGAAATGCATTGTTTTTCGGATATTGGAATGGATGGAATGGCCGAAAGATCCGTATTGTAACAAATATTTGTTTGATTTGAAAGAGGATAAAATTGTGTATGCAATGAGCTCAGCCTTGGAACAGAGTGAGAATTATATTTTGGAGCGGTTTTCAAGCCTTATTAAATTGAAAAGAATTCTCACTTTATTATTCAGATTTGCACGTAATAGTAAAACTCTTAAGGCTCAACGTGAAATAGGACCTCTATTAAAACCTGAAATTGAAACAGCTTTCGGAGTTGACTATGCTGGTCCATTTTTGATCAAAAGTCGCACTGGTAGAGGTGCCAAAAGTTCAAAATGTTATGTCGCTCTGTATATTTGTTTTTTTACCAAAGCGGTTCATTTGGGGTTGGAGTTACCATAGAAGCCTTTTTTCTTTACGTAGATTTTCAGCGCGCAGGGGTAAACTTTCAACGGTATTTTCCGATAATGGTACAAATTTTGTCGCTGCGGGCTCTAAGTTGAAAGAATTGGGTAAATTTTTGCGTGAAAATAATAAACACGTTTATTATTGAGACTGCTCTGAAAACATTGACTGGCACTTTATACCGCCTCAAACCCCACATTTTCGCGGCCTGTGAGAGGCCGTGGTTAAGAGCATGAAGTCACATTTAAAACGCGTAGTCGAAAGTGTCTCTTTGACTTTTGAACACCTTTATACATTGCTTGTGAAAATTGAGGCAATCATGAATTCGCGTCCCTTGTTACCTATATCCTCCGATCCTGAAGATCTCACTCCATCGCACTTTTTAATTGGGAGCCAACAGGTCATTGGAGCCAACTAAGTTCACTACCTGAAACAGATGTCAGCAGCACTCCTGTGAATCAACTAACAATGTATCAGCACTTGCAGCATATGAAGCACCATGGATGAAAGTTTACGTGTCTGAGCTACAGGTGCGGTCCAAGTGAAAACTTAATCATGACTCTTTGACGGAAGGAGCTTTGGTGCTGATCAAAGACAACAATGAAATGGAAGTCAGCAGCCTTCTGGACGGGAGCCCTTCATAGGGCTGACTATGTCGACGGCCAGAGATATGATTAAAAAAAAACGCTCCCATACCGTTTTCAAGGAACTTTTAAGCTACCTAGATAAAGCTGCAGCGAGCCAGAAGCTTTCGTTGACCAGGAAAAGGTTACGCCCAATAACGGGCATCTTGACTGACCACTGTCAGTTAAAAAAACATTTGTTTTTGAGTGCCACATCCTTGTGTAGAGCTTGTAATCAAGAAGACGAGATAATAGAGCACATTCTCTGTGACTGCACTGCTCTTTCGCCAATACGGAGAGCTAGATTAGGCCATCGCTAGAAGAGATCAGAGGCACCACCCTCGGCGACGTTATCGCCTACGTGGAATCGCTAGGCTGGATGAAGAGCTAAGGAAGACCTCTCTTCTTGTGGAGGCGCACAATGGGCCTAATGTGGCCTAAGTGCTGTGGCATACCATACCACCCTCCCAAACTTACAGATATAGATCTAGCTATTATCCAGGAGATTGGCAAAATGCCAAAATTAGCTTCTACTAGTCATAGATAATAATACTTACATCATGTTCAGTAAGTATATTATCTCCTAAACTATTGATTTCCTTAAAAAGCGGAATGTCTTTGACAGGAGCCTCAATAGTAGTGGACCATCTCTGTTGCAATTGCTGGAACTTCGTTGTTTGATTGGTTGTAGTCTTTTTGGATTTTTCATCTTGAACATCTTTCGATCTGTAGTCTAAATTAATGAGAAAATTGGCTTAGTACAAAAATTATCAATTTTCAACTACCATACCTGGAACAGTTTCTGTTGATAAAAACTGAAACTTTCGCTTGTTGTTATCGACAACTGGGGCCTCTTTGGATTTAGCAACCAAAAATTTGCGTTGTTTTATCGCTTGGATATCCAATGCCAGACTTTGTCCTGGAAATAAATATTACAGCTAATCTATCTAGTCCAATATTATTTTAAATAATTTTACCTGTTTTCATGGAAAACAATATAGGAGGTGCGTTAGCGCCCTTGATCCACTCCTGAGCAGTTAAAGATGGTTTAGAGGCGGCAGTGTCTGGATATAAATCCTCATGGAACTGATCGCTTTTTCTTGGTACCACCATACTGATTGGCTCGCAGAGCCCTTTGGTAGCGTGTAGCTTATAGAAACGGTAAATTTCGCATTGGGACGTGTTGAGACCTCGTTTTGGCATGACACCTAATCCTCTCTAAACATAAATTAAATATTTCCAAAATTTTTTAAAAAATTAATTATTCATCTTCACCGTTATAAAATACCAAAATTAAGAGGTAATGAATAATATTGAATCTTTGGCAACACAGCAATTTATCACTCTATGAACAAGATGAAAAACTGTGCAAAGTTCCAAAGTGATTTTTCAATATAAGATTTTTATGCGGATACTATAACAAATAAAAAATTACACAGAATTCAATAGTTCCAAAGAATTTTGAGCTTCCTACCTGTGGATTTCCAGAGATAACTTGGCTGAGATAATGAATATAGGGAGGTTCGTCAGAAACTTCATAAAATCGAATATTCCCGTCACCTTTTCCCGCCAAAAATACGATGTTGGTGTCAGGATCGTAAAATGGAAACACTATTCCCGATGAACTATCAATTGTGTCGGAGAACAGTGGCTTGGAGATGTTATTTTCGTCCCAAACGGCATATCTGAAAATTATAATTAATAAAATTTCTGTAAAATTAGCCGCAAAATTGTTCACACCTTCTATCAGAGTGCCTCGAAAAACCAGTAGTTAAAAGTCGCCCAGTGGAACCCAAAAACACAACTTTGCTAGCTTTGGAACCTTCATGGCATATGCCTTCCTAAAATGCCAAAAAATAGTGAAAAAATTAAAAAAAAAAAGAAAAACCAGATTCTTACAGATTTGACAATACCGCTTCTAGGTTCGATAACTCGTAACTTTTTATCTTTGCAAGTTGTCGCCAGCAAACTACCATCTCGGTTCAATGACATGGAATGGATGGCGTCCCTGTGGCAATCTATTACGTTAACCGCTTCTCCCTTTTCAATGTCCCAAACAATAACCTAGAAGAAAATATGCAATTTATAGTCTAATGGTCGTTAGACAAATATTATACTGATATTTAGACTATGTGTTTTTGGCTCCAGAAAGTGAAAGCTCGGGAGTGAATTTTTTTTGAAAGAGTGAATTTGAAGAAATTCTTAGTAAAAAAAAATACTAAAAAGACTCAATCGCATTTGGGTATTAGTCTCGCACCCGAATATACTTGTACTTTGCTGTTTATTTTCCTTTTTCCTGCTTACCAGTAACTTAACCCCACTTGTGCACAGCTCACAGCATCGGAGAAAAATCGAGGGGTCCAGAGAAGCCCCCTAAACTTACCTGTAAATATACCTTTAGAGATCCAAAACCATACATAGTTATAGTAGAGAGTGAAAATGATGAAAACAGGGAATTTGCACCCATTAATCAGTATAGGTAAAATGCTGAGAACCGGGAATGTGAAAGGAGTGGAAAAAACTTCTAGAAACGGAAAGAATAGAATAGGCGTAAAATTTTCAGAATATATTAGTGTCAATGAGTTCCTTACCAATCAATTAATTAAGAAAAATAAATTAAAAGCATACATACCTATGAGTTTGGCAACCTGCCAACGGATTAGCTAGAGGAATAATGAAGGGTCAAACTACAGAACAAATTATCGATAGTGCAAACTCAGAATATTGCTAAGTTCGGACTGATGTGTATACAAGCCCAGTCATGATGTACTACAACTATTTGAGGTATGGCCATTCTCAAAACAATGTCGCAGCAAGAAAAGATGCCCTAAATGTGCATCAGAAAATAATAAGGATGAGTGTGAAGAGAAGAATCCCACTTGCCTGTATTGTGAAAAAGAACATAAAACAACTGATAGAAATTGCCCAGAATATCAGACAAAAAAACAATCATGGTCATAGGTAACATTTCCTACTTTGAGGCCAGGCAAAAATACCCAAAGATACAAGAAAACGAACCAGCAACCGAACATAGAAATAATCACAGAACACCTCCGGATTATAGAGATTTTCGCAATCTAACACCAAGAAATAGTAGCCCAGCAAATAATGCAAATATAGAAGTGAACCAAAGACATCTGTATATTCCACAAACTCCCAGAAGAGCCTACTCCAGTATAACTTCTACATTAAAGAGGAAAGTACCAAGCTCTTCCGTGCAAGGATATGACAGGGAGCAACATAAAAAGTGTCTCTATATGGACCCGAGCAGGGGTGCGATTTTCGAAACTATTCGAGTACATTTCGTACACGAAATCTGACTGCTCCCCATTTAATTTACATTGCTGTCAGTCAAATTTCGTGTACGAAATGTACTCGAATGGTTTCAAAAATTGCACCCCAGAACTCTTCAGCAAAGTGGCAGTATACTTGGAAGCCATTCTCTATGATTTACTCATGTCAGATTATGACACCCATTGAAATGTCTGATGGAAAGGTGCGAGGAAACTACTCAAACAGGCTTGGAAGATAATGAAACGTTATATTATTATTTTAATGACAATGCAAACGCTCGCACTTAGATTTTTATACAGAAACTATTGATGAAAATTATACATTGAAATCTTAGGAGTGTATATTGTAATCATGATGACTTGAAAATATTGATAAATAGAGAGAATTCTGAAATAGTATTATTGAATGAGACCTGGCTTGGCCCAGGTAAAAATTTTTACATCAAAAATTTCATTGAAATAAGACAAGATAGACAAGACGGAAAAGGAGGAAAACTATTCCTCCTTTTCCGGTATGGTAATGAGTTTTTAACTAACTCATTACCATTCCAGAACCTAATTATTAATAACAATTTCAATCAAATAATGGTAATTAAGATTTAAAATATTTCCAAAATTACGGCGTATAATCCACCAGACATAACACTATCAGTCAATAATTTCCAGCAAATATTTTCTCAATTGAATCCCCCTTTCATCCTAATGGGCGATCTGAATTCACAACACACAGCTTGGGGCTCAGACATCAGTAATTACAATGGCAGAAATATGTCTGAAATCCTAAATGATTACAATTTGATTATCCTGAATGATGGAACAAAAACAAGATATTCTCCCCCAAATCAAAAGAAAAGTTGCCCAGATGTAACAATTGCCTCAGCCGATTTGGGCCTAAAATGCAGATAGAAGACTATAGAAGAATTAGGAATGAGTTATCATTTCCCGACAGTATGTGATTTGAACGAAGAAAATCAGCCAGTTAACATGGAAAGCATCCCTTTAAGGAAATGGAGCATCGGGAAGCCAAATTGGGAAATCTATTGCCAAATCATTTAGAGAGGGAATAGAGAATCTAAGTTACCAACAAATAGTTGAGGAAATAAATACCTAATGCAGCTGAGTAAGCTATACCTAAAGTGAAAAGCATGTCTTCTGAAAGATGTAGTTTGAAACCCAGGTGGTGGGACGATGAGTGTTATACCATAACCAACAGAAGGCAAATGTCCATGGGACAATATTTGAATGATATGACGATGGAAATTTTTTTTATATTAAAAACATTTAGCAGCGAAAGCAAGAAGATTTATCAGAAATAGGAAAAAAGAAAGCTTCAAAAATTTTACAGAGACACTTAACTAAAGGGAATGTTTGGAAGATAGTTCAAAAATTTGCCAATAACAATCAAAACAATACACAGAAATCAAGTAATGAAGAATGGATTGAGAAAAAACTGAATCACCTAGTTCCTCTATTTATAGTGCAGGAGACGACTGAGATTCAATATGGTCAGCAACAATTCAAAAAATTTACGCTAGACGAAATAGAAGCTAATTTGAAGGGGAAAAAAGACTCTGCCCCAGGCCAGGCATAGATAATAATATACCATATACCATGATATCAAAGACTCCTAGATTTATACAGAAATCCTTGATAAACAAATGTAATGAAATTATTTCACCAAAAGCTAATATTCTGCAAGACTGGAAGTAGCCGATTATAATACCAATCCAAAAACCTGGAAATAATTCAGACATGCATGACTCGTATAAACCCATAGCTCTAGCTACATACATGTACAAGTAAAATACATCATCGTTAAAACGGGAATTGAACATTCCTTAGAAAAGAGGCGATATTTTAATCAATTTCAAAATGATATTGCATTTACAGATAATAAGATAGTAGTGGCTATCTTTATCGATTTAAAATCAGCTTACGACTCGGTGTGCCTTGAAAAAATCAAACAATATTTAGCTGAAGCTCAAATAGATAAATGGACAGTGGAATTCATATATACACTTTTTTCAAATAGGATATTGCATATAAGATCACCTAATACCAGAAAATTGATATGGCCAATAGGCCAAGGCACTTAGCGAAATAACAGCCATATTTTAACATAAAATTTAACAGCAAACTATCGATGCAATATTGTTAAGGTTCATTTATAGATGCTAAAAACCAAAAATGCAACATCTAATTACTTCTAGGGGATTTTATGAACAATATTTAGTGCAAAAACAGGGCTTTTTTTTGTTTATTTCACTGTATTTCGAAAACTAAGGATCGGATGGTTTTGCTACTGTGGCAATAGTTTTAGAGCATTGAACAAGCTTTAAAATGAGCCATCATACAACCCTGTAGGTCTTTTAGTCCTCGAGAAATGATTTTTTTCCTAACTTTTTTAATTTTCATGCTAGACAATTAATTTTTTACACATACATAGTAGATGAGGCAGGCTTTATTGAGCCCAAATTTGGGCCCGGTCCGATGGGTCGTTTCGGCATAATACCCTTGCCAAGCAAAATGGGGATGTTTCTAAAGCAGTCTGTCGAATTGAGGATAATTTTTTTATATTTATTTTGAAAAGTCCACTGATAAGTCGAAATGCCAAACTATCGATCCTCTATCTCAGATTTTTCATTTAATTTTTTTATCGTAAGTAAAACGGCTTTGAACATGACTGAAAATGGAAAAAATTGACAGGAATTCAAACGGAGCGACAGCGAGCTCCTCCCCGCCCACGCAAATTAAATTTTTTTTCCATTTTCAGTGATGTTTGGAGCCGTTTTACTTGCGATAAAAAAATTAAATGGAAAATCTGAGATAGAGGATCGATAGTTTGGCATTTCGACTTATCAGTGGACCTTTCAAAATAAATATAAAAAAATTATCCTCAATTCGACAGACTGCTTTAGAAACATCCCCATTTTGCTTGGCCATCTACTATGTATGTGTAAAAAATTAATTGTCTAGCATGAAAATTAAAAAAGTTAGGAATTTTTTACGAAAATCTCTTTTTTGGGAGGAAAAAAATCATTTCTCGAAGACTAAAAAACCTACAGGGTTGTATGATGGCTCATTTTAAAGCTTGTTCAATGCTCTAAAACTATTGCCATAGTAGCAAAACCATCCGATCATTAGTTTTCGAAATACAGTGAAATAAACAAAAAAAAGCCCTATTTTTGCACTAAATATTGTTTATAAAATTCCCTAAAAGTAATTAGATGTTGCATTTTTGGTTTTTAGCATCTATAAATGATCCTTAACAATACTGCATCGATAGTTTACTGTTAAATTTTATGTTACGAAAAAATTTATCTGCCCTGGCCTACAAGGCTGGCTAACAAGGGACTAGCGCAAGGATCTCCCTTTAGCCCGCTATTATTCAATATATACAGGGTGTATATGTATATTTTAAGTGATACCACTATTGCTATATCCGAAACGTAAGAGCTGCAAGGTCGGTTAAATTAGAAAAAACTTCATCTTTTGCTGCCCATTCCAGAATTGTTTACAGTCTTGCCATAGCTATTTTAATAACGAGTGCGGGAAGAGAAATTTCCGGCACGAGGGTGCGAAGCGCCCGAGTGCCGGAAATTTCTTCCCGCAAGAGTTAGGAACTATATTTTTTCTACGAGCATACTAAAGCTGATGTTACGAGAAGTTTAATTTAAATAAAATGCGATTGAGCAGAAGGTAAAATTAAAAATGTATTGAAAGGTATTCATAAAAAAAAGGTATTAAAGGTAAAGGTATAGGTGTATCAACAATACAAACAATTCCATGTCACAGTGATTATTTCAAACTCAACGACGACGGGGGGGGGGGGGGGGGGGCCTGCGATCTCTCATTGCCAGTTATAAACCACATAATAACTCTTTTCCGTTTTTCTAGATGTCGCTGACAACCACAGAATTGTCAAAATTGGAAAATACCAGAGGCACATCAAAAACACGTCCGATGTCGATAACTGACATGTCAACATATGACAATATGCCAAAATATTCATTTGATCATAACCACAAATAACTAATAATTCATAATGTTTTTTGTTCGCCGGTCTTGCATTTCATCTTTCTTTGTGTTGTCAAGTGTTCTTAAGTGATTTTAAAGTTGTTTTGTGTGTTTCAAGAAGAACTTCAAACTTTATAGATTGGAAGATCTATTTTTATCTTTGTTGATTAGATAAATGACAGGTTCAATTAAACATTAATCAGAACTTTGAATAAATATGTTAAGGATACCCTTAACCATCGATAAAGAAACTGTCTTTTGATCTAATTAACAAATTATCAATTAATTTAAGCAAACATTAATACCCCAAAGTCCAGAATAGACGAATTTGAACAGACCGACAGTAATGCGAACAGGGCGCCATCTATCATAAAAAGTCCTTTGTAAAGTAGGTGTCTGTAGCATCGATGCAAGTAAATAGTGATTTTCCGATATGGTAGATGGCGCTGGCTTGGCTCAATTTTGTTGACAACAAAATTTACACTGAGATTCCATTCTCGACAGTTTATATAGTATTTATCTCTGGGGGGGGGGGGGGATTATTTAATTTTTTTGTTAGTTTTATTCCATGCACAAAGAATTTGGTGACCTTCAGTGGGGGTAAATTTTTTATTTGCGTAAATGAGAATAATGTATACAGGGTGTTTGGTGTTTGGTACATCGATAGGAATATTTCAATGAGTGATAGTTGAGGTCATTTGGGAGCTGTTTGACCAAATTTACCCTTATGCAAAGTTTCGTCGTTTTTAAGATATCAGCATTTTTAGATATTTTTGAATTGTTCCTAAAACATATTGTTTTTTTTTTGGTGGTAAATACTTGTCCCTTTCTCAATTTTTTCCCGACATTCCCAATATGCACTCTTTTGAAAAATACGGAAAGAAAAACCGGATGATTGATACAAAAAATATGTAGCCCAAGTTAGGTGTTGAAATACATGGATTCAAAATATCTAAAAATGGCGATATGTCGAAAAACGGCAAACAAACAACTTTCCATGAGGGTACATATGGTCAAACAGCTTCCAAATAACCCCAACTATCACTCATTGAAATATTCCTATCCATGTACCAAACACCCTGTATATTAAGGTCTGAGGCAAGTCTATTTTTAACTAATAAATAATTTATTTAGAAAGCGTTTATATGAAATTATGAATAAGCGTGTCACACGCATACTCAGGCGTGATGTGTGACAACCATTAAAAAATCGTGACAATCACGCCTAATGCGTGACGCCTGGCAACCCTGGATTTAGTCCTTTTTGCTCCTGCTGAAAAGCCGGAGCATGCGATATGTAAAGTTCAGGGAGTAATTCGTACACTAACAACCTGGATAACTAGTCACAACATGGAAATTTCCATAGAAAAAAACAAAGGCTGTATTATTTTCCAAGGGCAAACGGCAAAATCCTCTAGTAAGATACGGGTCCAAAACAGAGAGATAGATTTGGTATCAGAATACCAATACTTGGAAGTCATTCTAGCAGGTCATTGTGGACCCCATACATTGAATACATCACCAAAAAGGCACAAAGAGGTATTAATGTCATGAGAGCACTTACAAGAAATTGGTGGGAAGAAGAGAAAACATTCTTGTAAATATTTACAAGGGTCTAGCCAGATCTCATCTGGAGTATGGCTGCCAAGCTATATACCACACAAGTCAGCTTAGCTGGAACAAACTAGACATAATTCAATACCAAGCACTAAGGGTTGTAACTGGATGTATGAGGAGCAGTCCGATATTCCCTTTACTCGCAGAAGCGGCAGAGATTCCTCTTAAATTACGAAGAAATTGGCTACGCGCAAAGTTTGCCTTGAAGAAATTAGCAACTAAAAATGATGAATTAAATAAAAAACTGATAGGCTTTTATGGCCTATTTAATCAGAATCCAAGATATTGGCAAAACGAACAGGCACTATCAATGATAGAGGGAATCGATTTTGGGCTGTCGATAATTGAGGAATTAGAAAAATCGTAAAATCTACCATGCTTTGAATTTGAACTGGATCTCCGAATTGCAAATGAGAGAAATAGCTTGGGTTGATTTATTGATAGGAAAACATGATTAAGATAGTCAAAACCAACTTCAAGAAATATCAAATGAGCATCATCAAGGATTCGAATAGATCTACGCAGATGCCTTCCTTGTGTGGATCATGCTTGCATTTGTACTGCAGAGATATTGGCAATATACATAGTACTTAAATCATTAACAGAAGAAGCTATAAAAGCCTGTGATTTCAGACTAGAGCGCCCTACAGAAAATTGCAAGGATTGGGGTAAGAAGAGACGGGTAAAAAAACACTCAGAACAAGGAAATGCTTGGTAGAATTACAACAAAGTGGGAGAGAAATTAAGTTATTCCTAGTCACTCAGAAATTTATGGAAATGACATGGCTGATAGACTGGCTGCTAGAGGAAGAGAAGCGGACAACTATATTAACGGAGAAATACATATAGAATTCTACAAGTTGTTTAAGGATAATACATGGCAGGAATGGAATAATTTATACGCCAATAAGACAAGAACTTGCTTCACTAAATACTTTTCCATTGTTAAATCTCCTCAAAGAATTCCATGGTTCTCCAGAGTTAGTGATAGTGATAGACAGAAAATTACCACTTTGTGCAGTTTAAGAACTGTGCATTGCCTAACTCCTCAACTCATTCATAAAATTGGAATTAGAGTTCCTTAGCTGGCGAACACCTTTTCTTTCCTAGAGCTGGACATGCCACAACACACATCCCTAAATCTCCTATACCTATAAACAGACAAGTAAGGGCTAAGGGCTCCCCTAAATGAGAAGAAGTGCTCGTCAGTGAATTCCCTATAAAGTTAGGGGAATTGAGGAGAAGATATTTAAACTATAAGACAGTAAAGATTTGTTATATTCAAATGTATGGAATCTGAGATTTTGCGAGAAAAAAATGGTATAGTTTTTAAATTTTGACAGTTTGTTCAGATGGACATAGTGAGTCGGAATCTCATTTTCCAGCATTTTAGAGGGTGGACTCGCTAAATGGGGGTGGTTTTTTGGAAAAATTGCAGTTGGGGTAAAACGCTGTTAAAACGCCTTAATGAGATTGAAAAAAAAAATTGATTTTGTAAAAAAATTCCTTTCTAAACTTAGCAAGTTTTGCTGAATTTTACAAAATAGTAGAACTTCAATAATTTGTAAAATCGGTAATTTTGGAGTTATCGGACCGCTTAAAAAACGCACTTATGGCAAATTTATTCAAGATTTAGATAGTTTTTGTGGATAATCCGTTCTTTCTTTGACGCACGAAACGTAAAATGGGGCGGTGAGGCCAGTTTCAAGGTCACATCCCTTATTTTGTCGCGCTCTAGGGCGTTAACTATAAAAGATAGAGTAGGGCTGTCACGGGGTTTTTCAACCACCATACCCGGGTTTTATCAATTTTTTTTTTTTTCAATTTCATTAAGCCTTAATAACAGTGTTCTACCACAATTGCCATTTTTTCAAAAAACCGCCCCCGTTCAGCAAGCCCACCCCCTAAACTGCTGCAAAATGAGATTCCGACTCACTATCTCCATCTGAACGAACTGTCAAAATTTAAAAACTATACTTTTTTTTTCTCGCAAAAAATACCCATTGCCTGGACTATTAAGTTAACTAAACTTTCTTAGTACTCCGGTTTAGTGTTTTTATATTCATTTGTAATATCACATAAACTTTTCTTAAGGTCCAATTATGAATAAAGATTTTAATTTTTTAAAAGAATAACTGAAAGTAGAATTTTAGTGAGAAAAACTAGCTATTGATATTTTCTTTGGTGACCATTTTAATTAAGTCGTTAATTGAATAGGTTTCACATTTGTCGATTTGAATGCACCAGTGGATTGAAATGAATTATTGTGAGTTATACGGAGCATACAGAATCTCTCTTTTTAGACAAATAAATAATTTTCTCAGTGAAATTCAATTAAATCCTTTTAAAGTGCATGCAAAAAACTGATCATTTTACGTTTTAGGTATATTTTTTTTTCAAAATAATTAAACCGGTCAGTTCAAGTTCAATATTCAGCCAAACCATGTTTAATTATTGTTTCACTTTCTTTTTTTTCTTTGTAAATCAATTATGCGAATCGATTTTATTTGTCATCAATGTAATTTTGCGAATTAATGAAAGTTGCGTAAAAATTGTAATCAATTTGGTCATTTAGAGATGGTTTATAAATGAATAATTATGTTAATTTTAGCATGACTGATCATAATTTATTGTACCTTTGTACTTTTCACTTACCAAATGATCAAATCCAGCGCTGAAAAGTATATTTTCGGCTGTCGGGTGCCATTCAATGTATGCCACTCTTCGTTTGTGCCCTTGCAGTTCAACCAACCAATCATTGAGATGGACCGCTAGACCAGCATCAGGAATGTGCCATAGCTTGATCTAAAATTTAATAATTGATTGAATGTTTATTTTTATTTCATTTATTGGATACTTTGAAATAATCTTATGGGGATTAGATTAGAAATGTACATACATACGGGCAATTCCGATACAGAGGGATTGCTTGAGATACATAAAGATCACACAAAGAATGAGACCAAGAAATATGTTACTATCAGAACCTACCAATAACAAAAACTTTGAATTGTATGAATTTTGTGATTGCGCTGTCCCTTACTTTGTGTGCACCTTAATGGGAAAGCTCATATTTCAACCGCTTCCATAAGAATACTTTTAACATAAAAATGAGGAAATGTAAGAAACTTACTGTACAATCGTCTGAGCAAGAAGCAATTACATTGTCATTAAACGGGTTCCATTTAATATCCAAAATCGGTCCCGAATGTCCTGTCACTCTGCTAGCATTGAAATCCAATCTTCCAGTCTTAAAAAAAAGTTCAATAAGAAATTATTTGCTTCCATGCAGAATCAGCTCTAGAAGATCTGTTTTTTTAAGATTCCAGATCTTATTGAGTAAAATTATCTTTACTTACACAATTGATGGGTACTACAATGAACGCGCCTCCGCCGGCCACTTCGGTGACTACTGCCAAAAATTTAGGATTCACCGCACAAAATTGGGAATCGTGAGCGTTTTTCGTGATCTGAATGTTTTCGTAGCATTTGTCCCTTTTGGCAGGTTCGCCGTAAACGTGACGAAACTTGGAACTTCGTACACCTTTGAACCAGATCTGCATAAGGAAAAATAAAACTATTAGATAGATAGATGTGTCAAAATATAACTAGTGAAGTTGCAGTTTATGGTCAATAGTAGTAAACGATTTTAAAGAACCTTAAGCTCTAATGATAGCACAAAATGTTACTGCATTCTAAAATGAGAGATAGAAACTTCAAGTTTGCACCAGATTGAAGTAGCCTCACCAGTTTTCTCAAAGAAGAAACTACCTCGCAAAATTTGCATATAATAAGCCAGTCCTATAATAAAATAATGTAAATAATGTAAATCTGAAATTTGGTAGAGATCGAGGTAGAGATATTCTATTTACTGTACTTAATAACATACTAAAAGTCCTAAGCCGTCCTATGCCGGCTTCATAAAGAAAAAAGGCATAGGCGGGTATTTGGGGTTTTATGCAGGATAATATTATACACATTGTGTATTGCTGTCAATACCTATATAACTTCCGCTGTAGAGCCGGCTTAGCATATCTACTGATAATTTTCTCTATATTAAGGTGTTTGATATATGGCTGCAAAACGTTAGTAACCAAAAACTCTTCTCGATGGAACCAATGTTCGGATCAATTATAGAGTATGCAACCATCATTTTGACAAAACTAGCCGTTTAATTGTACGTAGTGGTGCAGATTTCAAAGTAGGAATAAGTTTGCAGAAACAGGAGTTTTCATGCAAACCAAGTCGATTGAACAGTGATTTAACTTTATCATGAATCAGTTAAAACAACAAAAAGTTGCACCAAAAGGACGGAGATAGTCAACAGAAAAAAACGTTTTTGTTTCAAGACTACTAGAACAAAGGACTATAAGATTTGCTTAGTAGTGTGCCAATTAAAACTGGCATTAGCAATTATAATTTTTCAACAATTGAAAAAAACTGTACATAAAATTAAAAGGCTAGACAGGTACTGCACAATTATTTTTAATGAAATATCTTTATCTATCTGTACTGTATTATCCTGGAGAAGATAAGTTAGATGGCTTCAAAGACAATGAAGAAGAAAATAGAACCAATAGGTTAGCGGATAAAGTTATGATATTTATGGCCAGAGGGCCACTTCATTTTGTTCGTGAACAAATGCTTTGACAGCGCTAATGGTGCCAAAGTTATAAATTTACCTGATGGAAACGACCTCTGATGTGCCGTTGATGACTTCTCCCTACTATGACCATTTCGAAAGACGCTATAATTTTTTTTTTTGTCGATTAAATTTCTAAAACAACAATGCAAAGTATGTGGCTCCTTCAGTGAACAACTGGATTCAGACATTAAAGGGATTTCGGTATCCCTGGCAATAATTAAAAGAGAATGACTTCAGCTCAAGACCCTTGGAGAATTTTTTCGGCAGTTTGAGAAATCATAGATTAGGAAATATCAATCCCACATGCCAGTCATTTATTAACTCATTCAAAGATTGATAAATATCTTTTTATCGCCGTCAATAAATAGAGGTACAATGGCGTTTATTGCACATTACATGACCAAAAATTCAAGTTGATATTAACATCTTGCAAGTCTTTTTGAGGTAATGCTCTGAGTGAAGAACTAATAGCCGGGTGTAAGGACATTTAGGTCGTTAGGATCCGCTGAGACTTCTGAGAGTAGGTTAATTGGCCTGGAATCCAAACCCGACTGCACCTGTACAAAGACCGTTTCAAACTCCTCATATGTCAATTTTTTCACCTATCACTCTTCTAATATGAAATTTAGCTGCCCAGGCCGTATCAGACGTGCCGTTGCCGATTCCGTTAGCCGTTGCCGTTGCCGTCGCGGTTGCAATCACACTTGACACCGTTCCGTTACCGATTACTGGTCGCTTGAAATGTTTATAACGTCAAAATGTCACAGCTAAAATTCTGTGCAGCTAAATTATTCAAAGTACAGCGCCGAACGTCGTCGGGAAGTTTCTTCTGCGTTGATGTGCTATACATTGGAAGAAGAGGAAAGAGAGAGATCCAAACCAAAATAGGTTTGGGTGCAACACCGGAGAAGCGATAAATTGCAAAACAAAAAAGTGACGTTTAGACACATGTCCCATGCTGTTCATAGAGTGCTTTCATTACCTACGGTTCAGAACGGCCTCGTAAAATTTATGGCGTTTCCGATTGGTAGATTCAGTGCGCACTGAGTGTATTTGCATCCTTTTAATCGACCTGTAGAAGAAAAAGACAGAAATAGAAAAAATTGCACTAGTTCCGCACTAGATCTACCAATCGGAAACGCCATTAAGGCCATATCAGACGTGCCGTTGCCGATTCCGTTAGCCGTTGAAGTTGCCGTCGCGGTTGCAATCACACTTGACACCGTTCCGTTACCGATTACTGGTCGCTTGAAATGTCATAACGTCAAAATGTTGCAGCTAAAATATTCAAAGTATAGCGCCGAACGTTGTCGGAAAGTTTCTTCTGCATTGCTGTGCTATATGATATTATTGGAAGACGAGGACAGAGAAAGATCCAAACCAAAATCGGTTTGGGTGCAACACCGAAGAAGCGATAGACGATAAATTGCAAAACTAAAAAAGTGACGTTTAGTCACATGTCATATTCTTGTTCATAAAGCGCTTCCATTGGCTACGGTTCAGAACGGCCTCGTAAAATTTAGACTCCAACCTAAACACACAACGGCAATCGCAACCAGAAGCAGGTATATTTTGATTGGTCGAATTCCCAATCGTAATCGTTAATAGTAATTGGCAACGGCACGTCTGATACGGCCTTTATTATAACCGATTCTAATAACATCCTAAAGTGAGGTGAGCGTGACGGGATAAAATGCCACCTTAATGCCTTGCTCAGAAAAATATTTTAAGAAATGCATCTGAGTAGAGGTATCTTGTAAAAATGTGTAAAGAGATGTTAATTCATCATTACTATCAATGAAATTTGTAGCATTATCCGAATAAATGTTGACACACAAACCTCTACGTCCTATAAATATCTTAAAGCAGTTCAAAAATGCTGAAGCAGTCAGAACACTAACAATCTCCAAGTGCCAGAAAGTACAGTCTGCGTCTGCAGTAAACACGCCTCAATTATTTTAAGTTTAGCGACGTTGCCAGGTCTTTCGATCATTCCTTGATACGCAGTTTTAACTAAAATAATATAAACTCAGTTGGTAAGTACCATTACATGCATAAGGCCTTAAAAGTAAGAATGGAGTTGATGGACAGGGAAATCAGCGAGAAGGAATCACATTCTTTAAAGGATGAAACTGAGATTTTAAGACAGGAAAGGGCAGAGATGGAAAGTTATCTAAGGAGAAAATTAGGAGCTGCCGGGCCGTTGATTTTGAAGAAGAGGTTTTTGCCGTCGAGGAAAATTTGCAAAGGGAAATCAAACAACAAAGTTCAGAGCTAGAAGATCATAAAACTACTATAATCTAAAAAAGGAAAATTTAGGCCTGACCGAACAAATTCAGGATTTACTTGCTAGTGCCGAAGAATATTAAAAGGGGGTTAGAGTTCTGGAGAATGAATTGGATAATTTGTCTAGCGTGAAGAACGATATGCTACAAACAATAAGAACACTTAACTCAGGATAAAGAAATATATATGAGGGATTATAAAGAGAGCCAACAACAATTGTTTCTACTACAGAATTCAGTAGTGAACATCAAGGATACGAGTCCATCAGTATCGTATGTATCTACGCAATGTAATTTACTCGAAAACACAGAGGAAGATCAAAAAGGACTTAAGGATGCTGACATAGAAAAGTCTAACAAACAACGTAAAATTCTTATAATAGGAGAAAGCACCATTGTGGATCTATATAAGGCATTGGAAAGGCAAACAAATCCAGAAGAGTATAAAATAATCAGTATTGTAAAACACAACGCTCTACTAGAAAATGTTACTAAAAATATTTGCGACTTAACTAAGGACTTTACAAGGAGGGATTTCGTCATTGTCAGTGGGGGACAGAAAAATGCGCTATGCCGAGGTAGAGTTGACCTGACTGTTTTTCAATCACTATCACAGATGTGTGAGTATACAAATTTGATATTGTTTTCTGTGGCTCTTTGGGGAAACAGACGAATTTTGAATAGATTTATCGATCAAGTAAATATTAAGATGTATGAATTTGTTCGGAATCAGTTAGGAGACAATGCTAAGTATGTAGGTTTGAACTCTTTTTCAAACTCTTCCTTCTTTATTTTTCGAGCAAACACCTTGAAATTTATAGGAAAAATAAAAATACGGGAAAAAATAATTCAACTTTTATCACAGCATTTTTTAATGTAAATTACAGCATTGACAGAAGAAATTTAACTAATAGGGAACCGGGAACCAAACTTTAAAATGTCAAGTGATTCATTCTTCATACTTCTGCTCAAAATTCAGTCAATTAGAAACAAAACAGACGAATTGTCTATATTTTTTGAAGACCAGGATGGACCAGAAATCTTATTGATTACTGAACATTGGTAAAAACCTTATAAACCATGTTATGTTCCTGGTTACTTGGGATTTCCATTTTTTCACGTGAAAATTCAATTCATGGTGGTACTGCGATTCTGGTCAAACAAAATGTCTGTGATAATTACAATATTAGTTCAGTAACGAAATATAATGCGCTTTTGGTCGAGAAAGAATTTGAATTCTCTATAGTTTATTGTTGCGGAAATAACCCACAACAAGTTTAAAATGTTATTATTTGTAGTTTATCAATATAATCTCAACTTCTATTATTTATCATAAAAATAATATTCTAAAAAAAGATTCCTGTAAAACTGGCAACAGCAGCCCTTTTGAATCGGTAAAATTACAGATTTCTTCATTACCCTATGAGCAATGGATCTATTTTGTTGTTGTGATTGGTCAGTTGCCACCCAACATCCCTGATTTATGCGACCTGCTCCGAAAAAGGCAGTCGACTCGACGCACGGCACGGTACACAACAGTAGTAATCAAGAAGCAGAAGAGTAAGCAAAGACTCTGCACCCTCTCGCCTCTGAACGCTCTACAGAGGAAAAAACCCCCAGAAAACCC